GATCTGGCCTTTATTAAGAAAGCTAGAGATATAACTATAAATATTTAGTTAAAAAGTATTAGAAATTATATTTTTATTAGATTTAAATGAGAATTTGACTTTAATAGAACACAATAGAGAAAAATCAACCCCACTTAGTGCGATAAAGGCTTGATATTATTATTCTTGTTGTTTCAACATTATTATAATTAACACAAAACGAGTGTTAGCCATAGCTAACATTTTTAATGCAGAGAAATCATAGAAGATAGAAATCCTCATGAATTGATTCATTATAATTTTCTTATTAAGATAATATTTCTAGCAATCATTGGGATTCCATGACATTCATTATAAGTACTTATATTTGTATTAGTAATTTTTACTGCACAAGTATTCTTTAAAACAAGATTGAGAATATGCGCAACACATAGCATCCTAAAGATGTGAGGATATATTTGCTCAACAAGCGGACTCTATCGCTTTATAAACTGGAGCAATGTCAGTAATAACTTGAATAACATTTGAAGGGAAAACCATCAAAGTCACTTCTTGAATCAAATTGAAAATATTTAACTTATATTTATATTGCTCTTCACAATTTACAACTTTAAAAACATCACATAATTTTCTGATATTGATATAAAATCGATAAGTATTTTTTTAGGATTAGTCCAACCATCACACATCAAGCACACTCCTTTACCCTTCTATATTCCTTCTGTAAGTTGAAGTAACTTCACAATATTGGACCTCACCCATTGCAAAAACACTGATATAAAGGTATTGTGCACCAGTGGCACATAACACACAAGATTATTATTACAAGCAAAAGTAAATACATTTTTATAATAAGGATTTCTTGCAAGATTAAAAGAAAGGCCAACTATGAAAAACATACTTACAATTTCACTATCTAGTTGTTTTTATATTTGAAGAATAAATTTCTTCTCCAAACAACTATCTGTAGTACACTTTTTTTCTTAAGCTTATATCATTCAATCCTAAATGAACTATACTAATATTGATATCACTAGTTCGAATAGAAGAAGCAAAATAGCATGAAACATAAGTACTTAGGTAGTGAAATCTCTTTAGGAAGACTCCTATTGATCCTTGACTCAGCTTCGTTAGCTAGTCTTTGAATTTCATTAAATTATGAAGCACTTATTTTAAGGAAAATATTAATTCCATGAGCAATTATCCTTAACAAATGAGTTTTTACTCTAGAATATGATCCCTTGTAAATAACATTTAAATATAAGCCTTATCGCCCAACTTAGTACAAAAGTCCAAAAAGGTGTATCGTCTTCAACATTAGGCGTGTTGAACCATTGCCACTTCCACATCCACTATCACTAGACTTCATTATCCTTCTATAATATATTTCAAACTCAACATAAAGTCTTCAATTAAATTATTAAACCATTAAAAATTCAAAAACCTCATTTTTTGTAGAACATATAAATTCAAAAAAATAATGATTGAAAATTAATAAATTATAACTTTTTTGCTCCTAATTTTCCTCTAACATTTTCCTTTTCTCTCATTATTTTTCTAAGTCTCTTTTTTCCATAGAATATGGATAAACTAACTTACTGTAAGTGTTCTAACCTGAGAGCATACCGTACGCAGGAAAGTCAACAAATTAGTATAGCACTAAATTTTTTTCTAGTTGAGCACACAATATATAAATTTTTTCTCTTGTAGAACTAATTTTTCAATCAAAGGTCCATATATTGGGAGAAATCGCTCGAACATTATTCAAAAAATGAAAACAATAACAAGAAGTTCCTCATATTGGTTTAAAAGTCTCTTACCATTAATGCTCTGTGGATTGTGAGAGAAAGGTGTTCCAATTTCGAAACCCTAATTGTGAGCTTGAACAACATGAGGGGAGACAACGCAAAGACATAAGGCATGACTCTTTGAGGGACATCGTGCATCATCATCACCAAGCAACTTTCGAGTGTCATTTGACATCCATGAGACATCATCAGGAGTTGTCGTCATCAAGCCATGAAATAAAAATAAAAATCTAGCCACACTCACTGAAATGTCCCGAAGATACAAGATACAGGGCAAATCAGGAGACTACAGGTTTAGGAAACTTTCTTTTAAAAATATATAATTTCTTAAGATGTATATTTTAAAAATAAGAAATTATATTTTAAAATAATTTTTAACAAAATATTTAGGACACTCGTGCCAGAAATGCATGTTCAATTTTCTTTAAATATTATTTCAATTGGACATGCCGTCACCATGTCCAATAGGTGCCTGAGTCATGTCGTACACATGTCAATATCCAACACGTGTCGGACACTACATACCCCAGAGAGGAGCATCAATGCACCATAGTAGATTGGGAAACAAAGCACTTATTTAAAATAAGATACAATCTTTCATATTACAGCTTTCCAAAGACCTTAAGACGTGTTAAATGTTGCTCCCTTGATTTTCTATGAATCAAAATGTCATTGAAATATACAATAAAATATTTTTCTATAAAAAGTGATTTATGATTCTCATGAAAGTTCTAAACCATTAATTAATCCAAAAGACATCACTAGTCATTTGTATCAACCATCATTCATCTTAAAAGTTGCCTTCCACTCATTTGCTTCTCTCATCCACGCTTGATGGGAGCCACTCCATAGATCAACTTTCAAGTAAATTATAAGCACAATAATCATATTTAGCATATCATCTAATCTTGGTATGGGAAATAAATACTTACTGGTGATTTTATCAATTGCTCGATAATGCACACATATTCTGCAACTCTCGTTCTTCTTAGGTGTTAGTAAAGTAAGTACCACATAAAGACATATCACTCCCTAATAAACCCTTTTCCTCAATAGTTCATCAAAATATCTTTTAAATTCAATATATCCAATAAAATTCATCTCTAATGGGCTAAATTAGATAATGATGATCTAGAATTCAAATTAATATCATCATGAATATTCCTAAGCATTTAAATTCAAACGTAATTTAAATTCAATCAATATTTGACTAACAACTTCAAGCACTAGTATGCTCTTAGTTGTATCTCAACTCAAATTAATAGCTACAAAAACATAAATAATTCCTTTGGCACAGCTCTCCTTTTTAAATGCATGTTGGCTCAAATTGTAAAGAGATTTATTTAGTTCATTAGGCATGCTTGATTCTTTTGATACAAAATGACATTTAGGCTTAATAGGTTTCAAAATGCTTCCTATATTTCCCCTTCAAGCATAAGTATTGAACTTCCAAAATTGGATCACTTCAAAATTGTACTACCCTAGTCTATCTAGAATGAAATGTGCAAAATCCACCGATAAGATGTCATGCCATATCATATTAGTATATATGCCAAGTTGAATTGAAACCAAGCAACAAGGCATAAGCATCGAGGCGTTTTTTACTGGAATTGCGCAAAGGCGGGCCTCAAGGCGAGCCTCATATTGCGCAATTCTAAACCAGGGTTATAGGTGTGGTTTACCTTTAAATTTCATATATTCAAGAGCTAACTTTGGAACGACATTCATGCAATTAGCATCATGTTTAAAAAATGCTGAAAAAAAAATGAAGTTCTTTTTAAATCAGGTCCAACCTTAGGTGTGGCAAGCCCATCACATGACGTTTAAAGAGTATTCAAGCAAAGCATCATCATGAACACTTATTTCTTTTTAGAATTCACCTGCATCCTCCCCTTCATCATCCTTATTATCTTCTTCTTCGACATTAATGTGTAAACTTCTACTTAAATATTTACTTGCAAGGTGACCCATTTAATGGCATACAAAACAAAACTCTATAGAAATTTTGGATCCTAATGCGTAGCAATCGATTTTCACTTGGCTCTTCTCTAACAGTAGTATTATAATATTATTGCCTTTAGATGTGATATTTAGGATTGGCTATTTTGGCGGAAAGAGGGATTTCTTATGTATGAAGAAACTCCGTTAGGTGCAAGAAATTTTTGTAATTGCTCAAAATATAAGGCCGATTTAAAAACCTCCTCAAAAGAATTTATTTTGTATGGTACCACCTCTCTATTGAGTTCACATCTAATGCAGACCTAAGCCTAAAAAAGCACTATTCTCAAACCCTCCCTAATTTCAAAATAAAAATACAATTCTTAAAATTTATTCATGTAATTAGTCACAACCATAGTTCCTTATCTTAGTGAGTTAAACTCATTGAGTAGTTGATCACCACAAAACATGAGTAATTATGTTTCTTTAATAGCAATTTTATTTCAGCCCGTGCAATTGTTGGTTCTAACCATGATAGTTCTCTTTATCATTCTACACTACCCAATACATCTTTGCTTGGCTAATAAGTTTTACTTCGCAAATCTTATGGATCGCTCACCAGACATACTTTGTTAATTAAAGAAATTATTCACATCCATTATCCAACCAAAAAAAGCTTTTGGATCTATTCTCCCATCAAAGGTTGGCGCATCGTAAGTAACTTTTTGGGTTATGTATTTATCATTATCACAAGGTTTTTGTTTATAATTATCATAATTTTGCTTGGCATCATGCTCCCTATAACTTCTATCAGGTTTGTTACTTTCATAGTGAGTCTTTTATCTCCTAACTATGTTGTTAATCGATACTTCATGAAGATTTAATTCATTATCTAGTTCTTGTGGATGTGTTTGATTAGTTTTCAATGTGTTGAGCAGCTCATTAATTTTGTTTGGTTAACCATGTTTTTTCAATAATCTTCTTATTTGATTTTTTTCAAGATAGTCAAAACATCTTCCTTATAGTTCCGACTTTATAGTTCAGCATGTGATCGCATGTGATCCCGCAATATAGTTTTGGCTAGTGCACATCATTAAGATTTTTTAATGATTCAATTCATATTTGGGAATCGCAACAGTCTTACCAAAATTAACGAAAGAATGAAACTTTGTAAATTTGAAGAGAAGACAATCAAAGAAATGCGTCAAGCTCAAGCTTAAAACAATTCAAACAAATAGCATCATACGAATAGATAAATAATAAATAAACACTTACATTTGCCCCTTACATAAAGAAAGAAGTTTACAGTAGACCTCCATGGTAACTTTGATGTAGTTAAAATGCTCACTTTGTAACTCTTTGTAGCATTTTTGCTCAATAAAACTTGATATCTAGCCAAAAAGACAAAATAACAATGCCTTATATTATTCATAACTCAATACATAAATTTAAGATGAAAATAATGAATTTTTCACAACCTTGGGGATGCGGGAAGGATTCTTGGCAGCATATTCGCAAAGCTTTATTATCTTCCTTTCATTTGGGACTCCATCCTGCTCAAGGAAATATTTTATAAACTTATAGCTGCATTAGAATACTGTAAGAATAGTTTTAATGGGGCAAGCATGAAAAAGATTATGTTTGAGACTTTTACAAGACCTGCTATTACTATTACTGGATCTCCAAAAGACAGCAAAACCAACTCCTCACCAATGAACAAAGTAAATCATCCCTAATGGCCTTCCAGGGAAGGCTTTCTTTCAAATTCTATCATAAATTTTCAGTCTAAAAAATCTTGAAGAAATTCATCTTCACATAACAAATACTGGAAGAACGCCAAAGCCATCTCAAAAGATGGTACATTCCCTTTTAGCAATATCAGAACCAAACAAACTCAACTCCAGAACAAACATTTCATTCTGGAAACAAGCAAAAAGTAAAAAAAAATCCAAGCAAGAAACTGACAATGCATGAAATTTAGAAGAAATGCAAGGAACGGAAGAGCAAAAAAAGAAGGTCAAGCAAGTACTTAATAGCCAATGAGCCAAAGAAAACGTCGATTCTTACAAGATTTTTTAGGAAGATTTCGGAAAGCAGCTTTTTATACCGCTTCACCGGCCGTCGGGAACTCGGCTTTAGCGCTGGACAGCAGAGGCAAACATTTTCGCACGCAGGCAATAGCTTTCTTGAGATGTAACCCATACTGTAAGAAACAAAAAAACAACCCTAAAGTGGAGTGAGGAAGCTGAGAAACCCACTATACTATCCCCATTATCTCCGCCATAATAGCTTCCAAAACTGAGAAGAAACAACAAAGAAATCATCAAAGAAACCTAAACCAAGTTGTAAGCTTAATTTCAAAATGAAAAAGTAGAAGCAGCGCGAAGAGATTAGTAAAGATGGTTCATTGATAGTTTGAAAGAGTTTACAGGAACCTTAGATGAGATCTGCTTCACCATTAAAGAAGAAAACTTTCTGATTGAGAAAAAAAATACGAAGAAGAAGAAGAAGAAGCGCTTACTCTTACCGTCTTGGGCTTGGAGCATACGCTATACAGAGCAATAACTTAAATGCAAGAAAAAGATAGGTTCTTTATCGGTGTGGTGAGAGAAAACTGAGAGAGACAGGGTAGAGTGTGCGGGGTCGACGGGCGGGCGGGGGATAAAGCTCTGCTTCCTCACTGTTGCCCACTGTTATAGCCTGTTACCAAGCTTTTGTCTAAGGAGAGGGCTTTCATGTCTCCCTACTTTAGCGAGAATAATAATAAGAGGCATTTTAATAATTATTATCATAAATTTTTTTCTTTTTTGGATTTATATATAATATTTAAATATTTATATTTATTTTTACAATATATAAATTTTTAAATCATATTATAACATTATCAATATTAACTTATTTAAAATAAAAGTTTAATATCTTACTAATCACATAAGCTAATATTTATAATAACTATTTTGTTCATTTCATATAACATTTTTATAATATTTAAATTTTTAAATAAATCATACGAATTATAATATATTAAAATTTAAAAAATTACTATTAATATTTATTTATAGTTATTTGATTAAATTTTAGTGTACTTTTACATAAAAATATTGATAGCTCATCTGTTTCATTGCTTCCTATGAATATCAAATTTAATGGACACCCGAAGTACTAAAAAATTATTAATAATAATATATTATAACAAAATAATTTAATTTGTGCATATTATTTGACAATTATATAGATGTCAATCTTCACTTTTCTGATTCAAAAGATCTTAAACTAGTATAATGTAGTGTTAACTCTAACATAATACCAATCGAAGAAAAATATTTTATTTAAGCCTCCCACGGAGATAAACTTAATGTTGATATTTATGATTATAGAATAATTTTGAATTGTCCTTGAATATTAATTTTATATATAATTTCAGAAAGATATATTAATATAAGTATGGATATTTAAATATATTTTTAACACAAAAATTTTATTAATATAATTTGAATATTGGAATAAATTTTAATTATTTTAAATTATTTGATACTAGTTAAACATTAAAAATTTGATCATAATATTATGATATATGAAATTAATTTTAAATATTAATCTATGTTATAAATTATTATATTTTTTCATTTATATATGATTAATATATTCATTAACGATTTTTGATAAAAATAATTGAATTCCTTACAAAAAAATATATCATTAATCTATTGATAATGACAAAACTTAAAAGTTATAGTGGAGCTTCTTACGAGTAGCTATTCCATATTATTTTCACGGTCCATGGTTTACCAAGCATTATAAGTGCTGGTTTATGTACAATGTTCTAGATTGTCATATTTATATTTTATTTAAAATGATTATTAGTGTAGAAATCCTCTTAATATAAATATTCTCTCACACAACCCCTATATAACCAATCCAAAATATATAAATAAAGATTTAAATATATTTCTTAATGTATTAATTATATAATATTAAATTTTATTATTTTAGTAATATTTAAATTTTATTAAATGCTATAAGCAAAACAAATTAATGTCAATTTAAAGTTAAATAAATATTAATTTTAATATAAATGAGACATTCTGAATCTACTACTCTTATAATTTTACATATTTTAAATTAAGATTTAAAGTGCAAACTAAATAAAGAAAAAAAATTTAAAGATAGTACCCAGACTATTCGTGTATGATAAATTTAGCCATAGAATATCATATTACCCTAATTTAATCATCAACTATATAAAATTAATCAAAAATAGTCCATTGTATTCTAATTATGATATAAAATTGGTCCCGGTTTAGTCTCAAAATGACTATTTTGATACAATTTTGTATAGTGGAGAATTAGAACAATATTATACTCTAAGACTAAAATGATCATAAATGAATAACGGCTCAGTTGTTTGATCAGGATTGAACCGGATGATATAATAAATAATAATTTTATTAAATATTATATATTTAAACAAAATAATCACTCACCTCTCATTTGTAAGATCTATTCAACCCATTTATGAAGATATAGCTTATTGATAGAGAAATCAAATAATAATTTTCAATGATAATTCTTACACTAATTAATGTTACATAACAATATATTATATAAACTAATAATGGGTAAAAAAATACTTTTGTAAAATTCTTCTTGTTGCTAGCTAGCACCCTAGGCCAACAAGGACTTTCTAATCTAATAACCAACCTATAAAATTTATATTTATTCTTATCTAATTTGTTAGAATATAAGTTTAAGAAAATATATCATTGTTTCTTGAGGTTTAAAAACACAAATAACTAAACCATCCTAAGTCCTAACTATTGTTGGAGAAAAAAATATTGCAATAACAAAATGGGAATTCTTAAAAATTAAGGATCACAAAATGAAAAATATCAAGATGGGTTCATCCTTAGAATCAACAAGCAAGAACCCGGTTTGTTATCCAAAAAAAAAACCCTAAGAAATTAGAATTTCACCCTTTTGCAAATAACCGTACAAAAAATGGATTGCACATTAAAATGTAATGAACATTTCACAAATAGTTGTAAAACTCAAAAACTCGAGTTAATATATCAAGAAATTTAGATATTTTTGAAAAGAAATTTTACATTCACATGAGGAAACCGGCGTTGTAGTAGGGAAAAGAGGGGTGCAATGTTGGAGATGATGAGTGCATGTTGTGGTGAGAAGCATTTGTCGGAGACGATGAGCTAGCAGTAGAGTTTAGAGTTTGGGAATGGGACAAAAGGATGGCTCACAGGACCGGAAGGGAAGTCGAAGTAACAAAATAGGTATCATTTTAACTTTTAAGTTCAATTTAGAATGACATATGACGTCGTTCTTCAGACACTAATTTAAGATATTTATTAAAAAATTATGTTCCAAACATATGAATAAAAATTTTAGATAAATATTAAAGAATGAGTTTATTTATATACAAGAAAATTTTTATATTCAATATCTAAAGGAGCGTATGATCACGAATAAAATATCAAGTTACATACATATATGACATATGTTGAAATTAAACTCAAGAAGCAAGATTAGGAGATCTTCTTGCAAGATCTTGAGAGTGAGTGAGGAGGGAGAGAGGAGAGGGAGACGGTGAGCCAAAAATGCTTCAAATTTTTATTTCCTTTGGCTGCTTTCCTAATACAAGCTAAAGTCTATTAATAGGCACAAAAGCAACACCTACAGCTATACAAATAGGTACACAAAAAGCAAACCTAAATCTAGTACTAATACCTAACAACATATACTAGTCACACATATTTATTAAATGATCAAATAAATAAAAATAAGGCCCATAAATTTTTTTATTTTGTTGATTCACATATTATTGAAAATTTCTCAATTGAAGACTTATAGATCAATGATATTGAAGAGGTACCAAATAGACAAACTCGATAATTTTATAATTTGATAAGGCATAACATGATAATCATATGATTGACTCATTTATAGAATGGATTGAAGCCAAAGCTCCTGCTAACATTACTATAGAAGTTGCCCACAATTTATATGGATTTATATAATATGAGGATTCAGCCTTCTTATGGTGATTATTAATGAAACTGGTTTACAATTCTTAGAGAAAAAAAATAAAAAATTCAATCAAAGTTAGGAAATTTGGCTCAAATTAGCTTAAAAACCAAGTAGAAGAGGCTAACTCATTGGTCTTGAATTTATTTAAATAGAAGAAAGCTTAAAAAGCAAATAAGCCAAATTGATTCCCTCAATTCTTCAGGTATGAAGAATGACTCTAGCTTCATTTGGCACAGGTTTCTTGTTGTTTTCAAAAACAGTTTTTTAGCACAAAAATTTGTGGCAAATGAAACCTCTATCGTCGGCGACTAGGCATATGCACTTTGCACTGTTACATAGAGAAGAAGATATGTTACCAGCCAAGTATAATATGCATAGCTAAGAGCAATCACTGCCTCAAATTCTGAATAAGAAGAACTTGATGAATGGAGAAGCACCAATGAAGAAGTAGTAAAAACTTTACTAAACCTATTTGAAATGCTCAAAATCTAATCCATTATCAACCAAGAACATTACAAGAAAATCATCTATTATTGTAGGACTTTCTGGCATATTAAAATGCGCCTGTGAAAGCGGCGGATATGTCGCTGGTAGTTTACGGCGGAATCTCTAGCCTATTCTCCGCCGCTACCATATCGCGCATATTTCGCCGGATAATTCGTCGGTTTTTGTAATATTCCGACGTGTGATTTACCGTCGTATGAATATACACTTGAAATTCGTAGGAAACACAAGAATTCTGTTTTCATGCAGTGGAAGAAGAAGATATATAAGAGAAGAGTCCTCAAATATTTAAGAAAAAACTTTTCACATAGGCAATCTGATTCTAAAAAAGTTGATGCTGCAGCTCGGCAATAAGCACTCCACAAGCTGGGCTCGAATCTTCCTTTTTGCTGATCAAGCAACATAGGTATATCAGTCTTCTCTTCTTCTCACACATTCTGTCTCCTCCTTCTCATTCACAATCACCCATACAGTTTTCATTTTCGCCTCCATGCTCATGTAGCTTCTCCTCTATGCTTCAGGACCGTAAAGCAGAAAAACGGACGACTTACTAGTCTAGTCAGCATCCAGTCAGCATTAAAAAAAAATTTAAATTTTTGTATCAAGTCGCCCGTTAAACGGGCGACTTGCTACAGTAAAATATTATTTATATAATTAATTTATTTCAGAAAATGCTTGTAATTTTGATTTCCAAGGAGGCTTATTGGCACCTTCCCACCTTGATCTGCCTGCAGGCAGCGGCTTGAGCCTTCTCCCTGAGACTCAGAAGAGCTCTTTCTGCGCCGCTCATTGTGGCCAGCCAAACGCCTCCGACAACTCCTGTTTGCTTCATCGAATTCTGGCAACTCATTAAATCTGTAGGGGGGGAAATTAAGTTGAATCAGAACAGAAACTTACATTAAAAAGGTTCATTACAAATATTTTTATATTACTCAAATTATCCCTTCGGCTGGAATATCAAAAGATCTACAACAAATCATGGCAGATAAGTAGACATACATACCAAACAGAAAACATCTTTGTGCAGAAATAGCTTGAGCAACTCAGCATGGGAGAGTATGTGCGGTGCATGTTAAGCTATGATAGTCCTTAGGAGTACTTTATCCATTTTATTCTAGAATACTCTTTTGCTCTCATAAGTAGGAGGTCTTGTAGAAGAAGAAAAGGATGGAATGATATATTTTACTCTTTGAAGCTTTTTGAAGCTTTCTCCTTCTTCTTCCCTGGATTGAGAATCCTAAAATCATTCTTGCAGGTATCATCTTCCGACGATCCACTACATCAGTTGGTATCAGAGCCTGGAGCTTGTAAAGATCGATGGACTGCGGAAGAAGGTCGGCTGTCGACGACGATCGAAGCCGCAAGACAAGATTGGCGGTCAACGACGATCGACGCCAAGGAAGGTGGGCTGTCGACGATGCTCGAAGCCGGATCGCCTTCTATCAAGCTCAATCGAAGAAGTCGCTCGATCAGGTAGATAGAAATCTTGATCTGATTCGCGAAACCCTTCGGTCAATAAGGAGGATGAGGAAGTCGTCCGCAACCATACCGAGGCATTCTTCTTCTTCGCTATCCTTGTCCGCTCCTCGCAAACGCTATCAATCCCGCTATTCTCCCACCGTAGTTGACGACGAACCTCCGCTCGAGCTTCCGCTCCGGTGGCGCGAACCACCTCCGCTCAAGCACGCCAAATCCCGTTCAGATCTACTCGCTCGCCCAATGTCCTGCGTGGGAGTTTATTCCGATTTCATTCCTGATGAAACAACCGCCGCTACCACCGCTCAAGCCAAACCCGCTGGCCTCCAAAACTCCCAACCCCGACGATCTACCGCCACTCCGACGTCTCTGACAGCAGTCGACTAGACTCCCGCACATCCAGCCTCCGATTCGCCGACCCGACATGTGCACGAGCGCGATCTATCACGACCAGATCCCAGTTTCGTTGCCTGCTCCGACTCCGTCGGGATGGAGCTCCAGCTGGAGATTTGCCGTCTTCCTGCATTGCCTGCGGACAGCAACAAGGCAGTGCGGGTTCCAGACTCTGTCATGGATGGAAATCATTCGCCTGCATTTTCATTGCTCCAGCGAAATACGCTCACTGGTCCGACAGCCGGCGTACTCCACTCGTCGATGCCGGCAGCAGCCACGGTTGAGGCCGAAGATTCTTCCGTCGTTCATGTCCTTTCCGCCCAGAAGAAAATTTCCCAAAATTTGGAAATGGTTATAGCAATAGAAGAAAGAAACTTTGAAGATGATGAGGGACTAGATATTTTACTTGTTCAACAAGACAATGATGAAAGAAACGAATCTGATGGGAAAATGGTAGAGGGGTCAAGAGATTTATGTGAGCAAACTGTAGCCCTTTCCCATGAATCAAGTTTCACTCCAATTACAGAACCTGAGACCGAGACGAGCAGTTGCAACGACTTGGTTATGGTCAAAGCTAAAGATGATTTTCAATTGATAGCTCATATTAATGGTAATATGCATATTGAAGAAGATAAAAAGGGGGTAGAAGTAAGTAACTACCCTTCAACTGTTGAAGGGATTGAGGGGTTGATCGATGAAATTCAAGGAACTGAGGAAGAGAAAACAGAAGACAACCTGTTGAATGGACTCAAAGAATATGTAGAATCATCTGAAACTGAAGATGATTTTCAATTGATATCTCATATTAATGGTGTTACACATATTGAAGAAGAAAAAATGGGGGTAGAAGAAAGTAACTACCCTTATGCTGATGAAGGGGTTGATGGATTGATTGATGAAATTCCAGGAAAAACACAACCTCCTTTAGGATCATCATTAAAGAAAGAAGCTTCGCCAACTGAGGGCTGCACTCATGAGAACCCTGCAATGATTATAGCGGTAGAAGAGAAAACTCAGTTGGAAGAAAATCCTACTTGTGACCTTAATGATGTTATTCAAGAAAAGAAGACAGAAGAAAACCTGTTAATTGGATTCAAAGAAAATGTGGAATCATCTGAAGCTGAAGAGAAACTTAGAGAAAATGAAGAATGCCCCTTAACAGAATCCCAAACAGTTGAATTCTCCTTGGAACATTATAATCTGATGGCATACAAAGAAAATCCACTGATTCAGTTCCAGGGAATAGAGCCAATTGTAAGAGAAGAGAAAGCATGTTTAGACGATAGATTCCCTCTTTCCATTGAACCGGGCCCTGATCACTACACCTGCATGGTTGATCTGTTTGGCCGTGCAGATCTCCTGCAAGAGGCATTGAACTTGATCAACTCCAGTCCGGATGGCCCCCATTCAGCAGCATGGGAGGCTCTGCTCAGTGCTACTGGGCAACATTCAAATTGCAATCTGGCAAAGTTTGCGTCTGCTATACCCGAGACTTCAATGGAGAGAAAAGTTGCTAATTTCGAAAATATTGAGAACAAAATCTTCGATCCGGGAATCTGTCTTCTGCAACAATCTCTTTTTCAATAATGCGTCTCGACGGAGTCGAGCCTTTTTACGCTAGGGGAGAATGATGCAGTGCATTTTTAGCTATGATAGTCCTTAGGAGTACTTTATCCATTTTGTTCTAGAATACTCTTTTGCTCTCATAAGTAGGAGGTCTTGTAGAAGAAGAAAAGGATGGAATGATATATTTTACTCTTTGAAGCTTTTTGAAGCTTTCTCCTTCTTCTTCCCTGGATTGAGAATCCTAAAATCCTTCTTGCAGGTATCATCTTCCGACGATCCACTATATCAGAATATACATGCAAAGATCAGAAGAACAGAAATAGAAAAAACAACCTTAGGGGCTTGTTTTATGCACTCTTTAAGCATGATTTAGCTTAAATCCCACCAATAGTTCATTTGGGGATTTTAAATAATCCACTTGTTTTGATAATCCCATTTCAACCCCCCACTATAGGTTAAATCTAGGCTTTGCTAAATTCCATCCTTTACAGGAATTAATAAAGTTAAGGATTTCTTCCTCTTGCAAACCATAAATGGTGAAACAAATACCTAAAGAATGTATCATAATTTAGCAAGTTTTAACATTTTTCATGCCAAAAAGTTTTCAGATAGTAATTCTCTCGAGATTTACTAAATCTGAATTAACAGAATGTAGTAAATTCTACTTTTAGCTAAAGAATGTAGTAAATTTCTAAAAATTAAGAATTTCTGAAATAATTTTTTAAAAAAATAATATTTTACTGTAGCAAGTCGCCCGTTTAACGGGCGACATGCTACAATAATTTTATTTTTTTGAAAAAAAAATTTTAATTTTTTTTTAATGCTGACTAGACTAGTAAGTCGCCCATTAAACAGGCGACTTTGCATATTTTTAATTTTTTTTAAAAACATGCTTAAGCTCTTAATACAATTTATAATCATGTTTAGTCTTAAAATTTGCCCATATATATATAGCAAGTAGCCACATGTAAGGATCAGCTATACTTTAAGATTTCATTTGGGACATATTAATTTTTTATTATTTTTAAACAGTGTTTCAACATAAAAAAAAAATGTTTAACAAAATTTTTTTGTACTAGATTGTTACTATAGAAAGCAGTAAAAAAGTTATCCCTAATGAAGCCTAATTCAAATAAAAGGGATGAGATGATTTTTCTAAGGCTTTATTTGGGGCAGCTTTTTTATTGCTTTATAACGTACAAATTTATAATTCAAAAACTTTTTTTATATTAAAAAGCTGCTTTAGAAAGTAGCAAAAAAAAAGTCCCAAACATCGGCTAAGTCATAGATATTTTCATCATTCTAACCTTATTTCTTTGATTAGATGTGCTTTCCATTGTTTTTAACAAGGTTATTATGTAAGAAGACCCAATCAAATATTTTCTTATGGATGCTAAAGTTTAATGTTTTGTGGGATCTTAAATAAAAAACTATATACAAAGTAGTGTTTGGACATCTTAGGAGGCTAAACTTCTTGCTTGTGTCTCAGCCTTTCAAGCTAAGTCATTTCTCATCTTTTTTATTTTCAATGATCTTATGAATTTTATGTTGATATTGAATAATTATTGTTTTATATTGTTGTCACCATATGTAGGGTTCTTAGGTTAATGCTTGTTAATATGTAGATGCATAATTTTAAGCTTAATTAGTTTTTCTCAACCTCCTCACACAACTGCATTATACTATTATTTTCCTTTTTCACAATGTATCCCAATAAGTTTGGGATAACAAACAATGCTTGAATATTTGGCTACTACGTAGCTCATCTTGTAATAATGGCGACCATATCGGCGGAATTAACGCCAGTAAATTAACGACGAAATGTCAAGCACAATTTCCGCCGCTGAAAAATCGACGCTTATTCCACCGTCTATTCAACAATATTTTCAAGGATTCTGACGCTTTATCCGCCGGTAATAACTGGCGGAATTACCGGTGCATATTGCGTTGGCGTACTTAAACTCGACGAACTAATGCGAGTGTAGGATCCACCGGTAAAATATTTAATGGTTAAGCCGCCGAAAAATACGTCGACAGAGTCCTTATTACGACTCGTCAGCCATTTGACTTATCATTTCATCTCTAATCCACGTAAGTGACGATCGAGGTCGTTGACTCCACGCAATTTGAAATCAACGGTCATGATCAAGTCAGACGGGAAATGATCTATCAGCCCGCTAACACACTCTTAAATGAATACGCAGAAAGGCAAGATCACAGCCATTGATCAACAAATCAATGACTGAGACTTACAAAATAGAACGAGACTACAGAAGATGCCCTAAAACATTATTTCATCTCATTCTTTCAATCCAGGCGATGAAACTTAATGAAATTTTAAACGTAGATAATTCGTATGAAGAGAATTAGTGGGGATTAATTCTCATGGCTTAAGATGCACTCTATAAAAATGCTAATTAATCCTAAGTGTTCTATCTAGAGTTTGAGTTTTAGGAGAATCTAACTGTTTGATTTGAGGTATTTTGGATTTTTTAAGCTTGTAGGCTATCCACAATTATTTCCCTAGTTGAAGTCGTGGCTTGAAACGCGCTAGATCTGGAGATCTTGGACTGGGTTGGATTTGAAGCTTTGGTGGCTGGTGGATCGTTGCTGGTGAGCTTTTAGTGGCTGGGTTTTGGTTAGGAAAGCTTAGGGGACTCCTGGATAACTAAAATGAAATGAGCTTTGGGTATAGGAAAACTTGAGCAGAGAGAGAGTCTAGAGTCTATAACGAGGGTTAAAATGGGGGTATTGCCATATTCAGTCTTCTTCAGGCCAAATGGACGGCTATGATTCATTGGGGGAGCTCTTAGATGATTACCATCTGTCCCAAGGTAGGTGGGAGGCAGAGGAATCAAAAGGACTAAGGTACCATGGCATGTAAATTTGTCTTGTCCTTGGGAGCACATGGGTTTGATTAGGAGATTAAACCAAAGATTAGGGATGATATAGGAATATTCTAGAAGCCATTTAACCTGTTGGATTCTATTTGAATCAAAGGGATTAAAAAGTTGGAAATTATTTGACCATTTGGACCTCATTTACTCCTTGTTGACTGGTCAACCAATCAAGGTTTGATGAGGTGGCACGTGGTTAGAGTGGTTTGGAGGGAATATAAGGCCATGGAGCTAAGGTTTACAGGAATGCATAGGATTTTGAATGGGTTTGACCAAGTCAAAATGGATTGACATGGTTAAGTGGATCATGGCTTGACTCCAAATGAGCTAAGGGGTATTCAACGTATCAAATGAAGTGGTTTTGAAAAGTCCTAAGCAATAGGATTGGATTTGAAATGTATGAACACATAGGATATAAGGTTTGACCATTGATTGAAGTTTGTCCAAGTGGTTTGACTTCAAATGGATTTGAATATACTTGAATCATACTTTGAGGTGAGCTTGAGGGTTTGGAAAGCTTGATAGGGTTAAATGGGTGATTAACCCATTTAAACCCTTAAGGGGTCATTGAGTCAACTTAGTTTGACTTGGTCAACCATGTTGACCCAAGGGCTAAGTATGGGCCCAACAAGTTTGTTTTGATGTTTGAAATTGAATGGAAGTGGTTCCATCAAAAGATAGGGTCATTGATTCAAAATGAACGTTCACACCCCCAAGGGGCATTTTGGTCATTTTGGGTTGACCTGGTTAACCAAGCTTGACCAAAGTCTAGGCTTGAGTCCATTGCAATCCTAATGGTGATTAGGATGCATTGGGAGTGGTTTTGAGATTTGATTTGAAAAGGCTATTTTGGGGTTTAGAGAAAACTTCAAAATTGTCCTTAAGGGGCATTTTGGTCACTTTGACCCTCAGTCAACTGGGGGTCAAAGTAGAACCATCGAAATACAATTTAATGCTTAACTAGTCAAGTTCAATGGTCTGAATGTGATCAAAGAGTTTGGAGAAGGCTTCAAAGTCAATATCCACTAGGTGGCAGTCCTAGTGGCATTGACAGTAAATATTTGATGGTTTTATGGCCTATGGAAATAGATATAATTTCTAATATTAGAGATCTCAGAATTGGCTCAAATTTGGAGGGTTTCTTTTAAAGACATGTCTTATCAATATGCAATTGACTATGAGAAGGATTGTCAATAATTGTGGAGTTAGAGGTTAAAATGGTAGGGGGTGGAATTTCTGAAGGGTTGAACATAAAACTGGAGATGTTGTTAGCAGTGAAGAGCTTGAAAATTTGGGATTTCCATATGGAGTATACATTAGTAGAGAGTTGCATAGAAACTATGGTTTTGAGGTTAGCGAGAACATACTTTAGGGAAGATGGAATGCGAGATTCAGGAAGGGATTAAGATAAGGCGCCTTTGCCTAGCTAGGAGGAGGCAGACTGGTCCATCGCTGATGCTTATTGCATGAAGTATAAAGCTCTGATACCATGAAGAAATTGTATTAACATTGCCATGCTGTAGAAAATAAAGTTCATTTCTATTCCTATGTAAAAGAGGTGTATAAAGAGAGTTACAAAAGGTAATGTACTATGTGTGCATTAAAAGTGTTTTTGCTTTACAAGTATAAGATGGACATTTTTTTGGTTATTATAATCTTGTGGTTTGCTTGGCCTTATGTTGAACAATATATTGACCACATGACAGAATTTCCTTCAATTTGCAAATTAGATAAGATAACATATCTGTTGTAGTTTGAAAATAAGGAAAATTAAGTCCCCAATGGTTAAGGTATTTAATTACCTCAATAAACTTATTACAAGTTGCTGATATATGAAGGATAGATTCACTTTGATGACATCCTATTGGGCAATAGGAAGAATCTTGAAGTTTTCTGTTCATAAAAAAAATCACCTGTAAAAAGAGCTTCTTTATCAAAGTACATTTCCAAATCATTTTCCTTTGAAGATCCATTTATAAAAAGCTGATCTAGTGAGATATCCTGTAGAGAGTGAGAGTCTATTTATAATTTTTTTAGCGTAGCAAGTTCCATAAATATAGTTAAAATCCAAACTACCCCATTGGATGGTTCCTTTGATCCTATATTGTTCTTCTGGCATTTAAGTGCCTTAATGATCTAAAAAATAAAGCCATCTTGTACTTG